ATTATTATTATTATTATTATTATTATCATCAACCCGTCTCGATTATATATTAGATGAAGAAAATTGATTCGGACTTCGAACAATTCAGAGTTCGAAAGGCCTGTTGAAACGAATTAAATTCGAAGTACGAGGCATCACTGTATTTTAGAAAAGTTTTGTTATATAAAAGTGTTTTTAAATACTTGATAGATTATAATAAATTAATATTTCTAATTTATTTAGAACAAAGATGATTTCATTTGCGACGAAGTTAATCAGCATTAGCTTATCGATTTCTTGGTTTAAAAATAAGTTTAATTCGAAAATGATAATCTATATGAATCATAGAAAATTTCATTTTACTATCATAAATAAAATCAAGCTTCATCAATAATTATAGAAATGAAATCATTTAAAATAATCTTTAACTGAACTTTACACTTTTTGCTATTTATTTCTTACTTTTACATTTTTATTATAAAGTGTTGGTTATAAAAGTATGAATTGAAGATTGGTAATAAAGTAAAATACTATGCAATGAATTATTACATCTCTTGAAAATATAATAATTTAATTTGTATTATTTTTAAGTGAAACATATCACAGTATATAAATAGTAATTCAATCAAATTTACCTAATATATAAAGAAGAAAGTTTGTTAGTTTGTTTATATACATTTCGACACGCAAGTGTAATGAAACTTTTCGGATCATTCTCTGAACCGGGAGGAGACCAACGACTACTTTTGGTCGAATTAACTTCAATTTCCTCCCACAATACCAATTGGAGCGCTACATAGTGCCAAAATTGCCACTTAGTGATATTTTTTATTAAAGTGGTGATAAAAATATGATACTGGCGATTGAAAGTGGTGATAAAAATCCTAGTTCACTTGTTACGAAATTCAGTGTAAAATTGAATTACAAATTACGCTTCGGGAAAAAATGGCAAAAATGTCGAGCTTCCGTACAAGACCCATGCACCACACATTTTTTTTCTTTTTTATTTTAAACTCTTTCCGCCCGGTGGCCGAATAACCGAGCGGTCAAAATCCGGGAGGGTCAAATAATCCCCAGGAATTTTTCGGTGATGGACCGTTTGGATATGTCGGGCCACGTTCCTCACCATCAGGCTGTCCCATTGTGGCCGAACCCATAATGGATTTGCAAAAATAGGTCCTCTTATTGCACACAGGTTGGAGAGAGTTGCACATAAAAAAAAAATACTCTTTCTGTCCTGAGGACCTCAACAGAACTACCGTTAATTAGGTCAATTTGTCTCAATGGACTGATGTTTTCTCGAATGTGTTTATCATTGATATAATAATTTTGTGTTATAATATTCTATGTTCATTTGTTAATAATACCCGATGTATGTTACCATGTATTTATGTAATCAACACCTATGCAAATTATTTTATGTAAGTATTTGGCTACTCTGCGGTCAATAGTTTTCCAAGTACATTAACTGAACTCTAAAACATATAGCTGTAATCTAACATATTCATGTTATGTAACCTGTGTTTACATGTAATATGCTTGCAAACATTCTGCTCCTAACCTCGGTGGTGCTCTGCGGAGCCGAGGCCGTCTTCGGAAATAAAGATTTATACAAAGTGAAAAAAAAAAGTGTCCTGAGGACCTATTTTTGCAAGCACATTATTGGTTCGGCTAGACCCACAATGGGATAGCCGGATGGTGAGGGACCATTCCCCGAAAAATTCCTGGGGATTATTTGAACAGTTCGGATTCGATCCCGGATCCCTTACGGCGCTGGGTTGCTACCTTGACCGCTCGGCTATCCGGCCGTCTTGTGAGAAACCTTATTCACAGTGTAAATACGATTCGATCCCACTTGTATACTTTCTGCCTATTAATTAAAACACGTGACAGAAGCCATCACGTAACAATAACTCATCCGATTTTACAGACCGATCCATTTGAAACGAAAAGTATACGCATCCCTAGCGATTTCATGACGTCACGTAGCAAGTTCGGGCAGAAAAGTAGAAGTGATGTTGAAAACCTAAAACAGTTTTTTGCAATGCCGCCCAGCGTTTCCAGATTAGGAATTTTTTTATCGACTGAGTGAAAATTTGGGGAATTTTTTGAGATAACTTTTTTCACTTTGATCTTTTTTTCAGTAAACTAAAACAAAAATTTGACATGACAGAATCTATGAAATACTGTTTAAACATTGTGATCAAATGTGTTCTTCGGAATTATTCATTAAAAATTATTCATAAATGCTAACAAGAGAAGTTCGCGTCTTCGAATGGAACGAAACTTGGCGAGCACGTAGTCTTAGACACAAGCGGTTCCTCGTCCGAATAATAACACCCACTTCTCACGCGTTTCCAAAAATTGGGTCTCTGAAAATTTAGTGTTTAGCTTACAAGTCGTTGGAAGTTTTACGTCCCAGAGCGGAAATAGCTGAGTGAATAAGACGCTAGGTACATCACAGTACTGCAGCTAGATAATGTAGGTCTGAACCTTTGCATTTTTACTTTCAGTTTATTTAGTTCTATTTATGCGTAATTTTATTATTTTACTGCATCATTCGCATTATTATTACTATATTTTCATCATGTTAAAATATCAAAATTTTTAATCTTTTGTCTTATGTAATTTCCTGTTTAGCGAAAACAAGCCACTGTGCTATTTAACTCTTTTATGTCGTTAAATAAAACTTTTATTTCTTCACATTTATTTTCACATATTTTACACACTATTTCTTCACAAGCGAATAAGCTTCAGACGTTACTAAACATGGGCAAAAAAGACAAGTGATACGAAAATACGGTAGCAAATCGCGGCGTTTTATTTTTCTAATTATTCCTCTTTATTCCTCTACTGTACACAATTTAAAGAATTCTTAAAATGTGTTAGATTTGTCACTTGGTATGATAAAGCCTTACATAACATAACCGTTGTAGTAATATAAATCAAATACTATAATATAATATAATATAATAGAAGGGTTAGAAGTATGAAATAATCGAATAGATTATTTCGTACTTCTTATCATAATCTTTGGTGCTGCTATTTTTCGCTGGGTTCATCTGCTAGTATCGAATAAATGATTAACACTTATTTATCATTGCAGCTGTCATTAACTGATATCATTACTCTTTTAAATTATTAAATTATACTGTATTTAATTTAGAATATTTATATTATAACTGTTTATAAATAAAATCAAGAAATGTTAAGAAGTATTTTATTAACCTTAAATTTAGACTTTATACTATTTATTCAATTATGCACAGTAGTCTATAATTATTAATAGATAATCAAATTAACAGTTGAATAAACATATTATAGAATATATTAGTGATAAAAACAATAAAAAGGTTAAATAGCACAGTGGCTTGTTTTCGCTAAACAGGAAATTACATAAAACAAAAGATTAAAAATTCTGACATTTTAACATGATGAAAATATAGTAATAATAATGCGAATGATGCAGTAAAGTTACGCATATAAAGAACTAAATTAAACTGAAAGTAAAAATGCGAAGGTTCAGACCTACATTATCTAGCTGCAGCACTGTGCTGTATCTAGCGTCTTATTCACTCAGCTATTTCCGCTCTGGGACGTAAAACTTCCAACGACTTGTAAGCTAAACACTAAATTTTCAGAGACTCAATTTTTGGAAACGCGTGAGAAGTGGGTGTTATTATTCGGACGAGGAACCACTTGTGTCTAAGACTACGTGCTCGCCAAGTTTCGTTCCATTCGAAGACGCGAACTTCTCTTGTTAGCAATAGGAATCATTTATGAATAATTTTTAATGAATAATTCCGAAGAACACATTTGATCACAATGTTTAAACAGTATTTCATAGATTCTGTCATGTCAAATTTTTGTTTTAGTTTACTGAAAAAAGATCAAAGTGAAAAAAGTTATCTCAAAAAATTCCCCAAATTTCCACTCAGTCGATAAAAAAATTCCTAATCTGGAAACGCTGGGCGGCATTGCAAAAAACTGTTTTAGGTTTTCAACATCACTTCTACTTTTCTGCCCGAACTTGCTACGTGACGTCATGAAATCGCTAGGGATGCATATACTTTTCGTTTCAAATGGATCGGTCTGTAAAATCGGATGAGTTATTGTTACGTGATAGATTCTGTCACGTGTTTTAGTAGGCAGAAAGTATACAAGTGGGATCGAATCGTATTTACACTGTGAATAAATTTGCTCACAAAACGGTAAAATGGGAGAGTTCACGCCATGCATTTTTGCCGTACAATCTCGCAAAATTGACTCTAAATGCTTATTTTATTATTTCAGTTTATTAGATATTTTAATAATGATGTTTTTACTTAACATTTATAAGTTTTACAGAACTTTTCATTGTCGAAAGTTAAACATATTTCTTTCTGTCAACTATAAACTTGACTTTAACCGTAGTGGTCGCAATCTTTAATATTTTTTATCCGATCTAGACGATCCTACCCTCTGTTCGGATTAGTTTGATCGCGATCCAGTCGATCCTAGAGGGCGTTTGTATACGCGAATAGAGATTGATCAGATCGCTATAGTTCGTTTGTATACACAATTTGAACGATCACAGTAATTTTGGATCAGTTTGATTCAAAAAGTATATGCACCCTAGATATGTGGTGCATGGGTCTTCCATTGCACGGAAGCTCGACATTTTTGCTGTTTTTCTCGAAGTATGATATGTAATTCAATTTTACACTGAATTTCGTAACAAGTGAACTAGGATTTTTATCGCCACTTGCAATCGCCAGTATCATATTTTTATCGCCAATGTAATAAAAATATGGCGATTTTGGCACTATGTAGCGCATGATTTAGGATATCAAATTCAAAATTTGTTCAACTTTTTTCTGACGCTATTAGTCAAAATATAGACTATTAGAAATCGTTAAAGATTCTAAGTGTTTTTCGATTATTTTGGATACAACCCCTGATGTAAGTCGAGTAGAACAAATTATAATTCGTTTCATACGTTATAATAAAAAATCAAATACAAATGAAATTAGAGAACATTTTCTAGGATTTTGTTCTGTAGATCAGTGGTCCCCAACCCCCGGGCCGCGGACCGGTACCGGTCCGTGGATCAAATGGGACCGGGCCGCCCAAGAAACATTAAATTGTTTCCATTTTATTTACTATGGTGTATTTCTCTCGGAACAACGAAATAAACTGGACATAAGAAACACACTTCGGATGTTATTGTCTCCTACTACCCCCCAGATGGAACTGTCGCGTTACAAAGAAACGTGCTCAGGGTTCTCATTGATTTAGCGTTCTAGTGAGTTAAAATGTTAAATCACATTATATTTATTTTTTGGTGTAACTGTATTTTGAAGACATGTTTAAATACAATTAAATTAAAATTATTAAATTAAATCAATCTAAAATATAAAAAATCAACGTTCCCCCTCAGAGGGCCGCGGTAAAATTATCAAACGTTGACCGGTCCGCGGAGATAAAAAGGTTGGGGACTGCTGCTGTAGATGACACAACGGGATTGTGTGAATTTATGTTAAGTCATTTTAAAAGACTAAATTTAAATATTTAAAATCTTCGGGGACAGGGGTATGACAATGCCGCTAATTTGAAAGGCAAATACAATGGGCTACATCAAAAAATACTAATTATCCTAGAGATTAATCCTAGAGCATTTTATGTTCCTTGTTCAGCATATAATCCCAATTTAGTTGTAAATGATGCTGTAAAAATTTCATTTGAAACTTAGTTTCTTTAGTATAATTCAAGAATTTTACAATTTCTTTTCTGAATCCACAAAACGATGGACTATTTTACTTAAGTATGTAAAAAGCCTAACATTAAAATCATGTCTAATACGAGATGAGAAAGTCATGCTGAAGCAATACGACCATTAAAACTACAGGCCATAGAAATATATTTTGCTTTACAAGAAATTAAAAATAATACTATAAAAGACATGGACACAAGATTTCAGGCAAATGCATTATCATCAAAATTAGTCATTTAAATTTATTTGTTTCCTGGTGTGGCGTGATATTTTGAATAAAATTAATGTCATTAGCAAGATGTTACAGAGTCCTGGTTGTAAAATGAGTGAAGCTCTCAAAAGTTTAAAAGAAATTAAAGACGATTTGAATGAATTTAAAACAGATAAATCGTTTGAATCCATTATAAGTTGTGCGGCTCAGATTGCAGAAGACTTAGAGATCGAGTCAACATTTTCTGCCAATACAAGACGAAGAATAAAGAGAAGACGTTGATTACGAATCAGAAGACGAATGCATCGAAGATCCAAAATTAAATTTTAAAACTTACTTTTTGGTAATAATAGATTCTGTATTAATGTCGTAGTGTGAAAAGTTTGAAGTTATGGAAGGACACAATAATATATTTAAAAAGTTTTATCGAGATTAAATACATTATCAGATTGGGATAAAAGTGAAATTTTATCAGACTGAAATAATTTAGAATTACTGTAAAATTAGCAGATCATTTGAATAAGAGCAGCGATGTAGATGATGCATCCCTATTTAAAGAAATAAAAAGATGACCGTCAAGAATATTTTAAATTTTATCTATAATAATCATTTGGTTGACTGTTTCCCTAATACTGCCATTGCTTTAAGAATATATTTATCGGTAACAGTTGTCACTGACGAAAGAATGTTCTCAAAATTAAAGAAGATAAAAAATTATTTAAGGTCCTTAATGTCGCACGAAAGATTCTCTATAGAAAGCGAATTATAAGATAAGTTTGATCTGACTGCCTTAAATAGTTCTCTAGTTTAAAGGCCAGAAATGTTTAATGAAAATATTTCAATTTAATTAATAAAATATATATGTAATCTAATCATTTTGTGTTTCATTATTTACGTACAGTGAAAGAATGCGCATATGTATATTCAATTTGTTTGGGCCTAAAAAAAAATAGGGGCGCCGAAAAGCGGCTTGCACAAAGACTCCTCATACATTAGCGCCGGCACTGGGTGCATCCAAGGAAGATTTCATTTTTTAAACCCTTAATTACAATTTTTTTTATTAACTGCAACTCTTTTCTTTTGCGACATAACTAATAGAAATTGTTTTTGTGTTGTTTCACACAAAAGATAATCAAGTTTAAATTTATTTAAATTTTTTTTAGTAATTTCATTAATTTTTATTTTATAAATTTGCCTGCTTTTCAATTAGCTTTTTAATATAAATACATCATTTATACAATACTAAAGACGGTGAATATGGCAATTTTACAATTAAAAAATTACAATTAAATTATACAATAAATGACACGTAAGTGTACATTAGCGGTTAATAACTTTCCATGAATTTAATCCTAATTTCAATTATATTTGAATTTATTTATTAAAAATCTTTCTATGAAGTGAAAATCTATTTGAAAAACAAACAAGTTTCCCTAGTTAAAATTATCTTTCTGTAAAGCAGGAGGAGATTCCTGCTTTATAGAAAGATTTTTAATAAATAAACTCAAATATAACTGAGACTGTAATATTAATTATAATTAAGAAAATCGCTGCAACAAAACTTAAAATTAATTATGAAAGTTATATTTAGTCAAAAATTCATTAAATAAAATTAATAAAAATATTGTGATATCGTCACAATGCCGGGTTGCAGTTTTTAATCATAGTTTTAAAATTTATTTAATTCAAAATACGGTATATTCTCTCCACCTCAGATTAGTAGTGTCTTGCCCCTGTGCATTATACTTTTCCTGTTAGCACCAGAGTCATGCTATCATCTATCTAACTTCTTACAAGATAAAATTTTTGAATTGAAATAACATGTAAACTATATTAAAAAGTTTCTTGCCTGTATTATTTAATTACAAAACATCTACTTAGTTACTTATGACTAATGATCAGGCTTATTAACACCCAGCCTATTTAATTAACTTATCTCAGAATGTATTTTGGCCTTACTGGCCCTTATCAATTGGGTGACACACAAACAGTCTATGGTGACAATTTGCCAACATTACCATATACATTAATAGTACAATTATTACAAGTTATTACATACACATTATTAATAGGATTCTAATATTATCAAGACAGCCGGATAGACGGACGACAGTGTAAATTTATAGGTGCAAGATAAAAGACATGATTAGCTTCTTTGATGAATGATTATTAACACTTAAAAGCACTTTTCTTCTTTATTTGACATTATCATGTCTCAGTTTGGCTTACGGAAATATAATCTCAGAAAAAAAACAAGCAATATTCGTTTTCCAATATAATATTCAGTGTTTTCGCTATAATATTAATTTTAAAAAGAATATTTTCTGCCTCCTTATTGTCGTCATTTCAATATATTTTGTCTATTTAAGATTTAATATTAAAATTACTGAATAAATCAATATTACCAAAATTATATGTTATTTTATTTTGCGATGTAAAAACAGTAAATAAAAACTAGACTATAAAGCGTTTCATTACAGCGGAAAAAATATTTGATAGAACCTACTGTAATAAGCTACATTTAAACTTATAGTATAAAATCAAATTAATAACACTTGAATTGTGGTATTATATTTTATACTGTATTAGTAACACAGACTGTTTAAAGATGAAAATTCTCAATTCTCACGTATAAAATTAATTAGACACGCTCTCAGTAGAAACGTCTATAGCCATGTGTTGTTTTGAATTTATCAATCCCGGAATGCTTTGCGCGAGCGAGTTAAACCTTAGAGTCACGTGGCTCTCCACATCTACACCTATGAGTTGTTGTTTATCTTCATTGATAACGAGTATCGTTGTTGTTTAAAGTTAAAGGATCGTTTCTCTTGATTGATAGTACTGAATACCATTATAATGTCAGTTAAGATAGCTGTGGTAAGTTTTATAAATTGCCATTATTTCTTTATGTGTAAATACGTCCAAACATATCTAAAATCAAGACATTTACAAGGTTTTTATATATTCAAGGCTTGACAACATTAAATTTATATAGCTAAAACTAAGTACTCTATGTATTATTTATACATGTATTTATGCAGCTAAAGTCAGTACTTAACAGATGATCACAAAATAACCATTAATTTCCAAAAGTTTTACTAAGGAAAAATTCCAGATATTGTTGGCTGTTGACAGATTTTGAACCATTTCTATTGAGTAAAAAATTAGAAGGAATTATTAATCAAGAGTAGTCTTTGATGAGTTATTCTGTTTAAAAGTTTCTCGTAAAATTCAAACTGTCCACTAGTTAATGTAATGAAGTAAGTAAATCACTTTTAATAGTGAATAAGATTGGTGAAACATTAATTTCTTTTTGAACCAGTTAAAGGACCATATTCAGGATAGGAAATGGCATAGAATAAACAAGGGGAGATGCAGTGCATGATAGGAAAACTAAGTAGATATTACCAGGCAGAAAAGAGGGATTCCTTGTCCTTGTTGTTTAATTTAAACAAGTGTTGATAAATGTGGTCGTAAATTTCACACTTTTCTTCACTGCTGGTGAGGGAGTGAGAGATTGTTATGATGGTTTTGTCCACCTGTCAATCTTCCTCAGTACCTAGAAATTAATCTAGTGAAAATAAAAGTGTAGTAGATTCTACCCTTTTGATATTGTCTTTATGTTAAAGGAGCTTCTGGTTTAAGTGACCTTGAAGATTAGCTGATATATATATAAGGTTAGAGGAATGTCAGTGTTTTTCCCACCTTACTATTTATTAAGTGTCTTGCCAACTTTATTAGTTTTCCTTAAATGTCTTCTGATTAGATCAGATACAATCAAAAACTAATAAAAAGTTTATTGGGCTTCAGTTTTCAGATTGCAGACCTATACATTTCCACTGTCATCCCTCCATTCATCTATCTTTTAATCATGAGAATGGAGTTAGATAGATAAAAATTGAGACCAGATATAGAAAGCTTAGGGGCTAGAGACCTGATTAACTATATATGAACTTCCAGTCTGGACCAGAAGTCATATGATTTTTTAAATTAAAAGATGATTAAAAATTGCAACCTGGCATTGTAATGATGTCAATAATATACATTTGATTTTTGTAGATTACTTTCAACTTCTTGATAGGATCCTATCTGATCTTTGTATTATATATATTTAGTAAACACTCTAATTTTTTAAGTTTATATCATCTAGTCTTAAACATGTGCCTTATGTACTGTACTTGTATAGTACATGTTATAAGGAAGAAATTGATAAAGTTTTACAGTACATGTTATATTTTAGCAATATCATCATCTTGTATATATTAGATAACTCTTGTAAATAAGAGATACTGATTTTAAATATATTTTTAGGATAGTGTTCCAATTTTTTTCAATTTCCTTGAGTCATTTAGCACTGCAAAAAATAAATTTGGGAACTCTGTCTCTCTTGAATTCTCTCTCTGGATTCAAGAGAGAGAGATTTTTGTAGATTGTGTTTCAGAGATGGCCTACAACTCTGACAAGATGTTAATATATCTGGCAGAAATGAAATATTATCTTATCTAACACAGTATAAATGTAAATTTATTTTAATATAGTAACCTATATTCTTATGTATTTAGGTAACTGGTGGAAATAAAGGTATTGGTTTTGCAATTGTAAAAGCACTTTGTCAGAAGTTTGATGGACACGTATATCTAACAGGTATTGAATAATCAAATAATACTTAATTCAAAACCTTAATAAAAATTTGTATCATTATTATTTTAATATTTAATATATTATTTTAATATTTCTCATTATTATTTTAATATATTCTTAAAGAAACTTAAATATACATAAAAAACTGGTATACAAACTGGAACTTTATACTAAACAAACAACTTGACACCTAAATGCAAAAACCCTTGAACATTAAAATTTATTTGTTCATTATATGCTGGAATTTGCATTTAGGTCTCAAGTTGTTTGTTTAGAAACTTAAATATTCATAATTTATAAAATGTTTTGTTGTTTGTTTAAATTATTTAAATTTTTTACTTTACTCATTTTATAGCTAGTTTTTTTTTTCATGAAATAGTGGTAATTTATCAAATTCTGTATTCTCCTTTTTTAATAACATTCTTTAACTTTATTAGATGTAAGACTATTATACTTTAGCATAGAAAATCACACCTTCCTTCCACTTTCCAGCAGTAACTGTAATAAATCAAGTCCCTGAATGTGCTGGTAATCATTTGTTTATTAAACAGTTTCTGTTGGAAAGTGTGAGGAAGGTGTGAATTTTTTTATGTTATATGTTATTTTCAGTTTACAAATTCAATAACTTATACTTTAGATTGGAATTTACAAGAAGTATTTATAAAATAAGATATACAGTATGTATATTCAGATTGAAATTACTATAATGGAAAAATTATTATATATATTATATACAATTAAAATATAAAGATTTAAAAACCTAGTTGTCTTGTAAAGATTTAATATATATTTTAAGACTGTAATCAATATTGTCATTATTAGTTTTGGAAGCAATTTGTCTATAATAATAATATATGAAAAAACAGAATTGGAAATAAATATCAATTTTAATTAAATTCCTTATTTTTGAACTAGCTCGTGATGAACAAAGAGGTAGAAATGCTGTAGCTGAACTTGAAAAATTAGGATTGAAACCAAAATTTCATCTTTTAAATATAAGCAGTTTAGACAGTATTTGTCAGTTTCGAGATTATTTAAAAGAAAATTATGGTGGCTTAGATGTTCTTGTAAATAATGCTGCTATAGCTTATAAAGTAAGTATTATATTTATTTATTAAGATATATTTATAACAAAAAAAAAATTGAATTCTAGTAAAACAGGTTATGTTTTTTGTTATATTTTGTAGAGCCTGGAGTTGTTTTTGCATTAATAATCTATTTGAGAATAAAATTCAATAATGATAATAAATATTCTAACTTGTTAATTTGTTGAAATGATTGAATTTAAAACAATTTTGTGGTGTAAACTCTAATAACTTTTGCTGATTGTTGTGACTTATTTTTAAAATTTCACAATAATATGTAATATAAAATTTAATTATTTCTAAACAGCAATGAAATGTATTTCAATCTCACTTGAGTTTTAATAGTAATTAATCATGCATCATATTAAAATCTTTTAACAAAAAATGCCATAATTGTCAGCTTCCTTCCAGTTTTGGTTTTAAAGATTGAAATTTGAAACAATATTAGCAATTGTGTATAATCATCCAGCTATTAAAAAATAATTGAATATATCCTGTATATATATACAGGATATATTCAATTATTTTTTAACATTGTATTTAACTTTTATACATGTTATATATATTATACACACATACTAGCAAATAAATGTAAATTGTATAAATCTATTTATCACAGAACATTGCATATGGACATCTGGATTACATATATCATCAACATTATTATTATTGGAAATTTTAACAAAGATATACTACCTGCAACACCACATAGATAATCTTTTATATATATAGAATACATTAAAGGCAAAATATATTTCCAGTTTATTAAAGTATAGCAGAAGAATTACATTTATGTTTTATAGTAAGATTAACAGTAAAACAGAAGCAAGATTACCCATCCATATTAAATATGGATAGGTAATCTTGCTTCTGTTTTACTGTTTAATTTCATTTAAAGTAATTAGAAGCAAAAATTTGTCCAATTCCATTCTTCCTGTAGTTGTGCTCCTTGTTATTCTTGCTACTAACCTTACCTCATCCTGTGTAAAAATTATTCTGAAAATAACTGCTGGAGTTGACATTCTTTTATTCATTCCTGATTGGGCTGCAATTTGAAAAAAATTATAGACCTATAAATACCCACTATAATCTGACTGTCTTAATCTCGAGAATGGAGTTAGATAGATGAAAGCCAAAACTAGTTATGGGAAGATTAGGAGCAGAGGAGGCTCCAATTAACTATATATGAACTTCTGGTGCAAGCCAGAAGTCAAGTTATTTCAATTTAAAAATTTTCACCTGAAAGGAATTAGATACATGACCTGCACAACTCTATTGCTAACGGAAAAGTATGATGTACAGGGGTAAAACACTACTAATTTGAGGTGGAAAGCACATATTTTAAATTAAAAAATTATTAAAAATATGATTAAAAATTGCAGCCTGGCATTGTGACAATGTCATTGCTTGTAATGATTTTTTCTGAAATTTCATTAATTTTTTATGTGGCTTTATTGAAAATATATGAAGCTAGAACCATAATATTCAATAAACAAAAATTGCTTGAATAAAGTACCAAAGTTATTTATTCTGAAACAAATTTTTGGTTTTAGTTTGGGTCACATTTAGTATGAATGTAAATTGAATGTAGTGTAAGGAAATAGAATGTAATTTTTAAGTTTATATTCAGTTTAAATGCATGCTGAAGCTAGTTTAAAGTGAAATGGAAAACATTACAGAATAATTTTAATAACCTAAATTAATCAAATGGTTTTTGTTTGTATGACTTTACCTTATAATATTTCACTTTTAACAGTTAAAACCGTGACAAAATTATTAATTTAATATAAAAATTTATTTTCTTACATAAATATAATCAAATGTAATGAAATCATAAAAAACTAGTCAATGCCATCAAGTTAAGATTCTTTGTTCTCTTCCCTCAATTTTTTCCTACTAAAATCCTTTACTATTTTTTGATAAATGGTATATATTTTATTTTAATGAACTGCAAATGGCTTTTCTTCTATATTGCTTTTAGCATTCCAATTTTAGTCATTATATCTTACAATAATTTTTCCAGTCAAAATATATCTCAATAAAAAGTAAATTTTCTATTTATATATAAATAAAGATTAATTTATAACTTGAACACTATCAGATATAAATATTTTATAATATATACTACACTAAAATTTCATTAAAGTGAAGTGCTATTTACATATTTTGTAATTTTATACCTGATTTTGATTCTGTTACATTATCAGCTTTTTGAAATTGATAATCACAGAACTAATAAAGCATATTTTAGTTTTAATTTTAATTTGATTCATTATTATTATTTTTTCGTAATTGTATTTGGAATATTTTTCATATACTGCTTTTATTATTTGGTTTTACTATTTTCACTGCATTTTTATTGATATGTAATATTTGCAATTACTACTTCATTTCTTGATATCTAATGTCGGCTTCATAAAAAAATCTACATAAAATACTTAACCATTTATCCATCTGAATGATCTTGATAATTCAGTTTCAACTTTATTTGTATTTACATTTTTATTATATTTATATCAAACTTGAAATTTAAGAATAAAAAAATTTAATAAATTTCTATTATTAGGTAGATTCTAAAGCTCCATTTGGTGAACAAGCAGAGAATACAGTTGCAGTCAATTTTTTTGATACCTTAAATGTATGCAAAGAATTATTTCCACTTTTGAAACCTCATGCCAGGTTTGTAATTTGAATACTTTATTGTATATTAAAAATTTTTCTTATAAGTTAATATCATAATAAATTTTAAATTATGATAGAATTTATATGAATATATTGTAAATAAGTTAGTGCAATAATACAATATATGAATATATTGTAAATAAGTTAGTGCAATAAATGTAGTATATAATTTACATGTTTCTCTGACTATCTGAGGATCCTCTAAACATCCATTAGCCACTAGGATAAAAGAACATAGAGCATATATCACCCACAACAAATATAAGACAGCATTGTCTACATATGTGACAAACCCGGACATAACCCCGATTTTTAATGAGCACATGTTATCCACACCACTTGTCATCAGGAACATCTAAGAACTTTGGAAGCAATGGAGATTTACAAAGCAGATTGCAGATTAACCTGCATCAATTTTAAATAAGAAATGAATCTCTCAGCAGCGTGGCAGTATTTATTGGATGATAAATTGTAATTTATTATACGATACATGGGATTATTATAAGATGAGCACATTGTATCTCCACTAGTAAAAATTATAAAAATTATATTTAGAAATGGCACATGATTATATGATACATGAGATTATTATAAGATGCACACATCATATCTCCATTAGTATAAATTATAAAAAATTACATTTTGAAATGGCACGTGATTTCCTTCCTTATTTGAATTTCTGGAAACGGAGCACATTCTTATTTAAAAACATTTGATTTAAGAATCCAGTACAGTAAATTTGGCCTGAAGAAGAGCCCAGGAGGGGCATTGAAAGCATTTGCCAATCTTTGTTTGGCGTTTTCACGCTGGATATTGATTACAGAGTATACATATTTTAGTTTTATACGACCCAGTGTGGGAGAAATCTTTAGTAAATTCTTCTATTTTGTATTTTATTCTGTTATAATCAAAAAATGTATTTATGAATATAATATATTCATAAATACATTTTTTGATTATTATTTGATTATTTGTTTATTGATGAATATATTATATTCATAAATAAACAGCTTTTTGAAAATTAGTATTATTTAATAACAAAATAAAATATGTGAAAATGTAAGAATTATAACTGAGAGTACTCACAGCAAATTTTTTTAATGAAATTTAATGTACAGAGTTGTGAATGTATCCAGTGTGTGTGGATTATTATCAAAAGTTGGCAATGAAAACCTCCAGAAAAAATTCTCATCTCCTGATTTAACCATAGAAGAACTTTGTTCACTGATGAAAAAATTTGTTGAGTATGTCATTTCTAAAAATTTGAAATTTAAAATAGAAATACTGTATAATTTTTATTACTATAAAATATTTCTTAACTGATATAAAATTTGTATTTGCTTATTTTTATTTAGGGATGCAAAGAATGGTGTTCATCAAGAAAATGGTTGGGGAAATTCTGCATATTGTGTCTCTAAAGTTGGATTATCTGCTTTATCGTTCATATATCAAAGACAATTTGATAAAGATCCTCGTCCTGATCTAGTTATTAATCCTGTATGTAAATATTTTGATGATTTATTCTGGTATATTAATGAGCTTAAAATTATATACAGGATAGTCTGTTTGGAGGGAATAATTTGAAAGATGTGTCATAATAAATACATTAGGTATAGGATGTTCAAAATCTGCCACAGTGGCATGATAAGATGGGAGTTTCATTAGGAAAATGTTATGATGTTGGCCACGGAACAACATGCTGGTATGCAAACATCCTTTGGCATGCAAAGTTCAGAATGTGATGGCTGTTAAACATGAGTTTTGTCATGTTTACGATTTTGGGAAGGTGCCTGAATGCCTAAGTACAATTACATAATACAGTCGACTCCCCTATAACACTGTTGATTATTCCATTTTATATGAATTCTATGTTGTACGAGTCACTTAGATTTTACAAATACGTGAGCTGTTCACACTGGCACATGTATTTGTAAAATCTAAGTGTACAACATGGAATTCATATAAAATGGAATAATCAACAGTGTTATGGGGAGTTGACTGTACATTAATACAACTGGGTCAATCATAAAGTCACAATTAATAAACTCCAAATACCTTTAAAATGCAGTCTATTTAAAAAACTTATCTAACGTTTTTGGTCAAATTAACAGACCTTCTTCAGGATCGAACTAACAGAATTTAAATTTGCCAAACGGAAATTCCAAAACGTATGCCCTACAATCTTCTCAGATTCGATTGTGTAAGTTCATTTGTTCTTTATAACTGTAACACCGCCGTTTTCCATGCTGATGCTGTTTTGTTTGATTCCCAAAAATTTATATTTTTCTTTTTTTCCCTGTACTTATAGATATGCCAGGCCTCTGCATACTTTAGATGTCTTCTATTTTCAACTTTTTGTATAATATCAGCCTTGCTCCATTCGATTGCAATCTCTGTTGGATCTGCGATCGCATAATTAGCCAAAGCCATGACTGGCCGTTTAAATCTTATATTCTTTTCGTGTTCCTTCAATCTTTCATTTAATGATCTCTTTGTGGCTCCTATATAATATAGCTCCTTTTTCAGCCTTTTATCATGCAATGGTATTCTGTACACACCTGGAACTAGCCTCCTGTCTATGGGTGTTTTGTATAATGGAATACAGGGCACTATTAAGTAACATATATAGAAAAATAGGAATAGAGAGCAACAAGAAAATGGCATATAAGAGAAACACAACAATATTCCAAATGCTAAGAAATGACAAAACACCCGTAGACAGGAGGCTAGTTCCAGATGTGTACAAAATACTGTTGCATGATAAGAGGCTGAAAAAGGAGCTATATTATATAGGAGCCACAAAGAGATCATTAAATGAAAGATTGAAGGAACACGAAAAGAATATAAGATTTAAACGGCCAGTCATGGCTTTGGCTAATTACGCGATCGCAGATCCAATAGAGATTGCAATCAAATGGAACAAGGCCGATATTATACAAAAAGTTGAAAATAGAAGACATCTAAAGTATGCAGAGGCCTGGCACATCTATAAGTACAGGGTAAAAAAAGAAAAATATAAATTTTCGAGAATCAAACAAAATAGCATCAGCATGGAAAGCGGCGGTGTTACAGTTATAAAGAACAAATGGACTTGCACAATCGAATCTGAGAAGATTGTAGGGCATACGTTTTGGAATTTCCGTTTGGCAAATTTAAATTCTGTTAGTTCGATCCTGAAGAAGGTCTGTTAATTTGACTGAAAACATTAGATAAGTTTTTTAAAATAGACTGCATTTTAAAGGTATTTGGAGTTTTTTAATTGGATATAGTAATGCAGGTAAAGATTTAAATCATAAAGCCACATTTTGGTAATCATAAGCATGATGTTGGGAAAGAAGTCAGTGTTTCTGTTGCATTAGTGCATAACTCAAGGCAAAATCTGTGGACAGTTGTCCTTAAAGTTGACTCTGCATACAAGATATCAACACATTGACATTACCTGGAAATGTATTCATATTGCTTACAGTAGTGCTTGCACACACTGTAAGCAATATGGTGTATGTTTCTCAAAATCTCATGATTTTTTTTATAGTTGTATTTATAGATAAAAGAAATAAGAAAAAAATTTTTCATTGAACTTAAAATTTAATTTTCAGAGTTTTGGTTTTATTCAATTAAGGCAATGCAATACATGGGCAATCTGCTAAGGGTAAATGTCTCCTGGGAGGTCTTTTATGGGAAACTGGCCTCTATTTAGGTATTACTGATGTGAAGAAAACCCAGAAAACTTCACATGGTCAGCCCAGAAAACTTGTACATGGTCAGCCAAGGTACAAACCCAGAACCAACTATCAGTGTCAGTAGTTTTATCCATTTGGTCACTTGTGGGCTTTAATTTTCAGGGCTTTTTTAATGACAGAAAAATAACTGAATTTTTAAATTTGAGATGAAAGTCTTATAATATTCATTAGCTTTTACTATTTATCATTCTAGTTTAGTTTAAAAATTATATTTTAGTCTGAAAAGCATAGCTAATTATTCTATATCATTTGGTATTAATAGAAATTTCTTAGAGTTAGATAGCCTAATAAATAGGATCTAACTATCTAAATTAAAGTTGTGGGCTAAAAGCGTCATTTATTATTATTGATATATAGAAATTTCTTGTTTGTTTAATAATTGTGATTTCCAATTTTTAATGTAGGTTCATCCAGGATATGTTGATACTGATATGACCAGTCATAAAGGTCCATTAACTCCAGATCAAGGTTAGTAAATCCTGTTTGTTTTATTTTTCATTTTTACATTGAAAATTGAACTTTTTAAAGTAAGATACATAGATCTTTCTAAAAGTTTTAAGGCTGATGACAACAAAGAGAATTGGGAATGTAATCAGAAATTTTTGAGTGGGTCACCCATTTTGATGATGGCTTGTGTAGACTTAGCATAGGTAGATAGGCCACCATAAAACATAATGTCCCAAGATAACTAGCAACATGTTATTGTGAAAATGTGTAAACTAGTGATACACATGACAATGCTTAATAAAAAAAATTAAAGGCTGAACAAGAACAAGTATTAAATGATATTCTTCTTTACTCTTGGCTGATCATGTGGTCTAGTATTTGTGTCTGATGTGTTTGTTTCCTGTATCATCTTGTGGTCAACTGTTTGTGATTTTTTTACACTGATTACTTTTAAACTATGTGAGGTGTCAGTGGGGGCTAGCAAAGAGTGAGAGGTGGAAGAGTGTTAGTAAGGGAACATCATTGTCATCCCATGTGGCTACAATATTAGAAAGATATATATATTCTTGCTGGATGTGTAGTGTTTATTAACACACACCCAGTTCTGAGTAGTTAAACAATCAAACTTTACATTATTGAGTAGTTCAACTTAAAATCAGTAAATATATCTATCTATATTTACTGATTTTAAGTCAATATTAGAAAGAGATATATATCTTTCTAATATTGACTTAAAATCAGTAAATATAGATAGATATATTTACTGATTTTAAGTTGAACTACTCAATAATGTAAAGTTTGATTGTTTAACTACTCAGAACTGGGTGTGTGTTAATAAACACTACACATCCAGCAAGAATATATATATCTTTCTAATATTGTAGCCACATGGGATGACAATGATGTTCCCTTACTAACACTCTTCCACCTCTCACTCTTTGCTAGCCCCCACTGACACCTCACATAGTTTAAAAGTAATCAGTGTAAAAAAATCACAAACAGTTGACCACAAGATGATACAGGAAACAAACACATCAGACACAAATACTAGACCACATGATCAGCCAAGAGTAAAGAAGAATATCATTTAATACTTGTTCTTGTTCAGCCTTTAATTTTTTTTATTAAGCATTGTCATGTGTATCACTAGTTTACACATTTTCACAATAACATGTTGCTAGTTATCTTGGGACATTATGTTTTATGGTGGCCTATCTACCTATGCTAAGTCTACACAAGCCATCATCAAAATGGGTGACCCACTCAAAAATTTCTGATTACATTCCCAATTCTCTTTGTTGTCATCAGCCTTAAAACTTTTAGAAAGATCTATGTATCTTACTTTAAAAAGTTCAATTTTCAATGTAAAAATGAAAAATAAAACAAACAGGATTTACTAACCTTGATCTGGAGTTAATGGACCTTTATGACTGGTCATATCAGTATCAACATATCCTGGATGAACCTACATTAAAAATTGGAAATCACAATTATTAAACAAACAAGAAATTTCTATATATCAATAATAATAAATGACGCTTTTAGCCCACAACTTTAATTTAGATAGTTAGATCCTATTTATTAGGCTATCTAACTCTAAGAAATTTCTATTAATACCAAATGATATAGAATAATTAGCTATGCTTTTCAGACTAAAATATAATTTTTAAACTAAACTAGAATGATAAATAGTAAAAGCTAATGAATATTATAAGACTTTCATCTCAAATTTAAAAATTCAGTTATTTTTCTGTCATTAAAAAAGCCCTGAAAATTAAAGCCCACAAGTGACCAAATGGATAAAACTACTGACACTGATAGTTGGTTCTGGGTTTGTACCTTGGCTGACCATGTACAAGTTTTCTGGGCTGACCATGTGAAGTTTTCTGGGTTTTCTTCACATCAGTAATACCTAAATAGAGGCCAGTTTCCCATAAAAGACCTCCCAGGAGACATTTACCCTTAGCAGATTGCCCATGTATTGCATTGCCTTAATTGAATAAAACCAAAACTCTGAAAATTAAATTTTAAGTTCAATGAAAAATTTTTTTCTTATTTCTTTTATCTATAAATACAACTATAAAAAAAATCATGAGATTTTGAGAAACATACACCATATTGCTTACAGTGTGTGCAAGCACTACTGTAAGCAATATGAATACATTTCCAGGTAATGTCAATGTGTTGATATCTTGTATGCAGAGTCAACTTTAAGGACAACTGTCCACAGATTTTGCCTTGAGTTATGCACTAATGCAACAGAAACACTGACTTCTTTCCCAACATCATGCTTATGATTAGNGTTTAAAATTTTTTTCCATTAAAAATAATTTTTCTTGATAAAAATCCATATAGATAAGTAAAATATACATTATGAAATTAATTTAGAGTCACAAGTATTCTATATCTTGTGACATAGTAAGAAGAATGAATTATTTAAAGTAAATAACACTGTAAAGGAAACATTTTAATAAAAGTTCAATTTAGCAATTATAAAAAGCTTTTATTTATCATTCAAAACTTTAAACAAAAATAAATACAGAAAGTATATAGATTATGTCTTTGTACACTTTGGACGTTCTTGTGAACTAGGACTTGTTATGTCCAGGGAAGTGAATCACAATTTCTAGGTAAAACATCTTTAATGTAACATAATCCTGTGTCCTCATTAAATTTAAATACAGATAGTCTTTTACTTTTAGACAACTCATTCTTTTGAACACCAAATTCAAATTTGTGTACATTTTTCAGGCAACAAACAAAAATTTTAAAGTATATGGTAGCACTTTGTGTCAGTTTTGGTTTTGGTAACATCTGAATTATTTAGGAAAATTAATTTTTATTGTCTATTTTCTGTTTATTTAAAATGTTAAAAACCACAAATTAATGTTTTGTACTTTGTTATATATTTACTGTAAAACCTAAGGTTTTTCTTCTTTCAGAGATTTTAGATTTTTTTAGCTCTAGGAACTCCTTTTACAACATACACCTCTATTGCTTGACTACACTTTACCAACCTTTAACATGCAGTCTATTTTATTAACGTAATCTGACGTTTTTGGTCAATTAATTGACCTTCATCAGGATTGAACAATTTTTCAATTTATGATGAATGAAACTGCCTATTGCGCAAGTCCAAAAATAGATAAAAATAGAATATGCAGATTGAAAATGTACTAATATATGCATACACTAATTATACACATAAAAATAAAAATTAATTATAATAAAGAAATAGATAAATGAATAGATAAATAAACAAGTGATGATATAACAGGCACTGACTAATGTCTATCTTTTATCTGTCCGTGCTTTTTTCTTTTGCTGGTATGTTCATAATGCACCGTTATATCATCACTTGTTTATTTATCCATTCAATTATCTATTTCTTTATTATTATTAATTTTTATCATATAATAAAATTTTATGCAATGCATATATTGAAAATTAATTAATATAATGTAAAGTATTTAATTAATACTAATACACAATAAAATATTGTTCAGTGCACAATACAGGTTACTGTTCAATGCACTTTTAGGAACGAATTAACCTGAGATTAATTTGTTCCTAAATTTGTTTGTTCATAAAGTTGATCGAAAACCAGTTTGTTCTCAAACCAAAACAAATTTTCCCATAAGAAATAATATAAAATGGATAATTCTGTTCCCGACCTCAAAAAAAAAAGCCTTTTTTTATTTTTTTACTCTTTTAGCTGTATTTCATGCATAAAAATGCCTACAAATGCAATATAATAATATTATCTATATCTGCTGTATCCATTATATATACAGTAGAGCGTCGTTTATCCGAAGGAATTCCAGTCGACAAAGTTAAATTTTCACCAGTGCTGTGGCGCTGTAATCTTTGGCTATGTCTTCGGCTACTCAAATATTTTACGTTTTTGATACTAAATTAACTTCTGAAGTATAATTTTTTATTGTTTTTANTATAACAATGTCTGAAATGTTATCAATTTAATACTCCTAAGTACTCAATGAAGACTAAACATAATTAAAAACAAAAAAATTGCATCTAAAATAATACAGTAGAAGCTGTTCTTCAGGTTAAGCCTTAATGCTCTCCCTCTCCCCCGGGGGAATTTCGAAAAATCCCTTCTTAGTGTGCATTTTCATGATATACCCTAATTGTGTACCAAATTTCACCTCTAGGTTCTGGAACTCTCTAGAAAAAACTGGAACATTCTCATTGAAGCATCACACATTTTTGAAGTCAACCACTTTCAAACCCCATATCTCTCACACCCTTATAGCTATCAAGATGCAACCACCATAGTGTATGATGGGAGACTTGGGGCACATAAACACCATTCATCTATGATGTGCAGTTTTGGCTGCAGAGTGAAATATAGGCACAAACATGTCCACTTTTATATATAGACTAACTGCAAGTACCCGCTTTGCTGGGTTTTTATTTGTTTGTACATTTATATGTAATACAGTTTTTTTATATATAAAAGACTGTCTCTCTTCCTCTACATAATCTTTCTCTAATTCGATGTGTTTCCCTATAATTTTCAAGTTGCTCTTCTGTCTGATTATTTCTGTTTCTCATAGCAATGTTAGATGTACTTCTTTGTACTTCAATGTTAGATGTACTTTCTTCCGTGGTTTCATTTCTCTGAGCCATCTTTTGCCTTTGAGATATGATTCAAGACCGCAAAAATTCTTTCATACATTTCGGCATTGTTTTTTATATTTTTACTTTTCACACTTCACTATTCACTTTTCACTTTCTACTTTTTTCTGTTATTCGTACACTTTTATTTATGAAGAATCAACTCAAGCATGTGCGTCACATGTCTCCAAAAGCCATCCCCACTACTCACACATAACAGTCTTTGACTATTTGAAAACATTTAAGATTAAGATTACATTACATTATAGCCAATCTTACCCGTTTTCACAGAATGCAAGAATTAAGTTCCCCATTTCCAGACTAATTAGAGATTTTTACATGAGTCTAAAAATATGTTCAATTTCCCACAAAAACGCAAAAAGCTGCATATGTGCCTGTAAATCTTGCATGCCGCTTTATCTTAACACTTCCTTTGTTACTCAACTTCCATTGTTAACACTTCCATTGTTACACATTTTAGAAGTCAACCACTTTCAACCCCATATCTCCCACACCCTTATAGCTATTGAGACGCCACCACCATAGTGCAAGATGGGAGACTTGGAACTATTACCACACACAAACATCATTCATGTGCGATGTGTAGTTTTGGCTGCAGAGTGAAATATAAGCACACACACTCCCATTTTTATATATAGATATAGATAAAATAAACATATGCTAAATATATACTGTATGTACTAATTTTTGAATTATTATTAATAAAATTTAAGTATATATGATTTAACAAATTAATATATAAAGAAGAAAAGTGTGATGCACAGGAACAAGACACTACTAATTTTTGAGATCGAGAGGATATATTTTAAATGAAAATAAGTTAAAAATATGATTAAAAATTGCAGCCTGGCATTATGAAGATGTCACAATAAATTTTGCTCATTTTATAAATGAATTATTATTTGAAACTAACATAAGTTTATTATAAATTTAGGTGCTGAAGCTCCAGTATATGCAGCTTTACTTCCAAAGAATGTGGATAAACCTAGAGGACAATTTATTTGGAATGACAAAACTATTGTTGAATGGAAATAACTTGAATATTGTTTTGCAAAATTTTTAAAATTATTCTAAGAAAATTCCAATAACATATACATAAATAATACATATTTTTGTTAAAAACTTATATTTGTTGATGGAAACTAATATTAAAAATAAAATTTAACACAATATATTTGCAAATTATTTTGAAGTATTTGATTTTATAGAGACTGAGAATAAAATAGTACCCTTTATTTTGCCTATTTAACAATGCATTTCTGATTGGTAATTTTCCAATCCAACTTCTTGCTCATATCTTCAGTGTCTAAAGTTGCTGTCTACAACATAACAAAAGGTTAGTTCGTCTTAATATAGTTTTGTTATCCAGAATGATGCGTATGGTGCACAATTTGTACATATCCTAATGGTACAGTTTCTACATATCAATCTCTTGCACTTACTGGCATGCTTTTTTTTTGTCTATATTTGATGGGCAAATGGAACGCTTCTTCCATTTCCCACAATTATTAACTCCTTATTACCTCTTAGAAGGATTTAAACTTCAATATTGTGGTTCATAACATGACAAAGGTCAAAATATCTTCACAAGTTGAAACCAGTTTTCACAAACTAACTAACTACAAGCAATTATTTATTGTGACAGTCACAATGTGGGGCTGCAATTTTTTATCATATTTTTAAATCGTTTAATTTAAAATATATGCTCGCTCTCCACCTCAAATGAGTAGTGGTTTGCTCCTGTACATCAGTGGTTCTCAACCTTTTTTGCTGATGTATCCCATTAGCCCATCAGTTGTTTCTCAAGTACAGTACCTCATATTTTTGTATATAAATTTTATAATTACTGCTTTAGATGTATACAGCCCTTATAACTGAGCGCCATAAAAAAAAACTAACTAAAACTAAAAGTGGATTACTTATTTTACGTAAATAATAATAAATTTAATCAGGTACATACATTTATTTATTATTATTTGATAAGTATATTATATAAAATCACAGAAGTCATTTTAATACATGCATAAATTACATTTCCTAAAAATAAATAATTATAATTAACGATAAACAAAATTTAACGGGGATATTTGTTGCGATAAATCTTCAGCAATTTTTTCAAAATTTGGTTCCCACGTTGTTAACTGACAGGGAATGTCTGCTGATGTGTCAAGCCTGTTTCTTTTTTTAGTTTTTGTGTCACAGTATTTGGCAAACTCGCATTCGCACAAATACGTTGTACAAATGGTAAAAGTTTTCTTATAGCTTTATCGGCTATGTTTGGATATGCTTTCACTAGACCANATATATACAACCCTTATAACTGAGCGCCATAAAAAAACTAACTAACTAACTATAACTAAAAGTGAATTACTTAGTTTACGTAAATAATAATAAATTTAATCAGGTACATACATTTATTTATTATTATTTGATAAGTATATTATATAAAATCACAGAAGTCATTTTAATACATGCATAAATTACATTTCCTAAAAATAAATAATTATAATTAACGATAAACAAAATTTAACGGGGATATTTGTTGCGATAAATCTTCAGCAATTTTTTCAAAATTTGGTTCCCACGTTGTTAACTGACAGGGAATGTCTGCTGATGTGTCAAGCCTGTTTCTTTTTTTAGTTTTTGTGTCACAGTATTTGGCAAACTCGCATTCGCACAAATACGTTGTACAAATGGTAAAAGTTTTCTTATAGCTTTATCGGCTATGTTTGGATATGCTTTCTCTAGACCAGCCCAAAATGACCTATAAAGATACAGTAGAAAACATTTCTTTATATGTCGTGTCAGTAGAAATGTCAATCAGTTGCTCTTCTTCTTTTGCTGACAAGCTATAATTTTGTTTATTTGTAGAAAAATAATTTGCTATCCACATATAATTTTCAATTTCATTATCGTCAGGAAAATAATTGTTAAATGAAGTCAACAGATCCTCAAGATGTTGAATTATAGCTTTTTTTTTTTTAAATCAGTATCAACGAGAATCTTTTTTTCTAAAAGATAAGAACTCAATTTATCAAAAATGTCAAATTCTCCTGCCTTACATTTTTTCTTCCACATTGAAATTTTCATCTTAAACGCAGAAATTTTGTCATTGGCAGCGAAAATATTATTATTTTTTCCTTGCAGTGATAAATTTAATGCGTTAAGTTTATCAAATATGTCACACAAATATGCTACACCTTGTAAAGTGTAGCTGGAAATCATAAAATCAAATGTGTAGTTGTATTTTTTCCTTAGTTGATTTCTTCTGAACTTCACCCTTGCGTTCGTTTAAAAATGCTAATGCTTCAGAACGTAATTCATATATCCTCGTCAATACTTTTCCTTTGGCTCAACCAACGTACTTATGTATTAAATAGTAGACAGTCGTAATCACTACCCATTTCAGTACAAATCTGCCTCAAAAGTCTAGTATTTAACGCACTGTTTTTTACAAAGTTAACTACTTGTATATTTATTAGTGCCTTAAAAATGTCTTTTAAAGACCGAGGAATATTTTTTACCACTAAATTTTCTCTGTGCAGAATACTGTGGCTACTTGAACAAGATGGATATGCCACTTCTTTAACCCTTACAACTACACCAGAAATTGGACCTTGCATAGCTTTAGCTCCATCAGTGCAGATGTGGATGCACTTTTTCCAATGTATTTCATTACTTCGAATGAAATCATCGATTTTATTGAAATTATCACAACTCGTAGTTGTATTTTTTAGGTCGTCGCACATTAACAAATCTTCGCAAAGCTCATCATTGTACTGATATTTCACAAAAACTAAAAGTACTGCCAATCCGCTGACATCGGTGCTTTAATCTAACTGTAACGTAAAATAAGCAGATAACTTGATTCTCCGCAGAAGTTCATTAAGAAGATCGTTTGCACAAACTGCAATTCGTGTTTTTACAGTATCATTAAAAAGTGGTAATTGTTTTATATTTGTCACTTCTTTAGGACCGAATAGTGTTTGACAAATGTCAATGACACAAGGTTTTATTAAATTTTCTCCATAGCATGAGCTTCACCTTGCCGAGCAATACGATAACTAACTTTCAATGAAGCTTGTAATAATTCTTTGCGATGGGTCGTATATGTTGATTTCATTAATTTACTTATTTATATAAATTTTTTTTCCTTCAAAATGACTAAGTGGTTTATCTTTAAAATTGGAATGAGCATTTTCTGAATGTCTTTTTTATCAGAGAGAGTTTCATTGAGTTGTTGCTAAACGTTTGCTCACATATTAAACATAAAGGCAATTGATTTGATTCCTTGCAGCAGAAATAAAAGCCAAAATTTAAATATTCGGTTAGATAGGAACGGCGTTTTGGTGAATTTTTGGATGCAACAAATTGACTGCTAGTAGTACTTGCAGTTGGTATATCGCGTTTTTGTAATTTTGGTTCGATTGCTCGGAATTTTCAGATTGTTTACCGGTAGTTCTTTTTCCTTCTCTTATCACAAACTTATTCATAATTGCATTTTTCGGATTGAAACTCTAAAGTATAAAATTTTGTAGAAAAAATTATTGATTCACCTCGAAATAATAATAAAAAATATTATTTTTTTTAAGCAAAAACTACAGAGAGAAAACTTATTAAAAAGACAACATGCAAGTAACTCTCGTATGTTGTCAGGCACGCTATACCCTTTGTGACAGCCACGTATATTTACTGGCACAAGCGAATACAAACTAAAAACGAGCCCTAAAAAAGACCCCTCACTTAACGAAGAGTTAACGCCCGAATAGGGATCAGTTACTCTTAAAAAGATCTCCCGTAAAGCATCCCCCTAAGCAGGTCGTTCAAGTGTTGTGTTGCCGTAATTTTACAAAACGAACATATCTGTGTCATGTCGTGATTCTCCTAAGTACGTACAGTACATTAGTAAGTCTGTACCTCATAAACGATCAACGCAATGCCTAACAACAAATGAAGAACCATCTAGGAAGAGCTCACGAAAACATAATACCATAAATAATGTGAGACCGCGGATTTGAGTGGGAATTTTGTACATGAAAGGAAACATTTTTTTCGTTGATTGAAACTTTGTAAACATCCCCCATAGAAAAACTCCTCGCGGAGTATCGGAGCAGAGGTCTCCTCCAACTATCAACAGTTAGGTGGGAAAGTTGACACTCAGCTGTCATGAAATGCAAGTCATCGTCAACAAACGGACGGCTTTCCTACACTAACGCTATAAAAGCTGGAGCTACCGGAAACATAGGGCGGACCAACCCACGGAAGTTATTTCTGTACTTGTGTCGTCGATCTCCATGTTCAGGAACGGAATCCCGTCCTAGAAGACAAACGACCGTCATACCTCAGCCATCCCCTCCAATCTTATTACATACAGCAGCGATTCCCAACCTGTGGTACGCGTACACCTAGGGGTACGCGATAGGTTGTTTAGGGGTACAGAAAAAAGTTAGTTATTCTGGCAGAAAAAATAATATATTATGTATCACAAACTAATAGTATTAAAAATTATTAGATAAAAGATGTTCCTTGCAACAATCACAACTTTATTATACATTTTTTCATTTACTTTTAATTTAAAGTTACAATATGTAAAATTAACAATACGGGTACTCACTAAATTTCTTAAATGAGGGGTACAATCTAGAGATATGACATGTCAAGGGGTACAATCTAGAGATATGACATGTCAAGGGGTACAATCTAGAGATATGACATGTCACGGGGTACGCTAATGAAAAAAGGTTGGGAACCACTGACATAGAGGTATTTGTTAGAACTTTGTGAACTCTCTCCCCCGAGTAGCATTTTATCGCATTTAATCGAGTAGCGTTTAGTCAGACTTGTAACCGAATTTTGTATGTTAACTTTAGCTAATCAATAAATGTTCTGTTTGTTAACCTGTCGACCTGTCGATCCTTTTCCCGTGAAGACACCTGTCCATGTGCTCGCGACCTCCCCACTCACTTTTTGCCCTCCTAAGCCATCCACCGACGCAGAGATCGAGTTTTAACAATCTGTGCAGTGTAAGTGGTCGTCCCTCTGGCCCTCTGCTTATCTCACAATAATGTATGTTTGTTATCTAATCTTAAAGGAAGGTGGGACGACAGATAGAAAAGCTTTAGGGAGCGACTATGCAGACGCGAATTTATTTGCGAGCGATAGTTCTCGCAAAGGAAAACCAACCACAAGCGAGAAGCGAGAAATGACGCTGGCGAGAGCGAATTTCTGATTCTCGCACATATCTGACAGGGTTTAATATTTATCGCGTCTCGCCTCTTCTCGCTACATATTCTCGCTCGCTCGCATCTGTATAGTCGCACTCTTATTGTATCTTATAGCTCCAAACAACAACATTAAACTTTCATCACATTAAAGAGCAAGCTTATATAGAATAATTGCACTGTAGCCATTAACTATAATGTCTTTTTATTAGGATCTAAACAATATTTTATTGTATATGTTACCGGCCAAACCCGATTTCAGGCCAAACTAGTTTGTCCTAGGCCAAACTAGTTTATCCTACGCATGTCAGGATATACTAGTTTAGCCTAGGATAATCTAGTTTGGCCTAAATACTTTAGGCTTAACTAGTTTGACCTAGGCCGAACTGATTTATGTACTACAAATAAGTGCCAGTGTAAAAAAAAAATGATTTTGTGTAATTCGAAATGCCACCACAAAATGCCACACTCGGTGTACCTAGGTCCTAGGTAACCCCAATGGCGGTGCTTCGGTTAGGTTGGTTTGGTTAGGTTAACTACATTTTCAGTAGACGTTTCCTTTTTTTTCTTTTGTTCAAGAACTACCGTGAATCAATAACTAGTAGCGTTAAACAATGGGCGGCCTGCCGGCGGCTCCCCTCCAGGAGGAGTCTGCCGGGAGCACGAACAGTCTAAAGTGCCGCCATTGGGGACTTTGGCGGCACTTTAGACTGGGTTAAAGTAGGTACACTTTAGGTGGGTTAAAGTAGGTACACTTTAACCCACCCTGTAAAAATAAATAGATTAAATATTTTATATGTTACACTAAGAAACACAAACAAGTTCATTTTAATTTTAGTTTGACTTTAAAAGTTATTTTTATTATTTCGTTTGAATTTTTGAAAATATTTTCGAAAGTTAATTACCTTTAAAAGTGCATGGCTTAATGAAAAAATACAAATTGATAAGTACTGATTAGCTTATTTTTATTTTATAGTTTTGTACAAGTGTTGTGTTTTTTTATAATTAAGTAGACTATGTTTGAATAAATATTGTTCATCTAATTGATTGCCTTTTAATTTTATTTTAATCATTAATATACTTAATCATTAGATTTTCAAGATACACACTTCCAATTACGACTGGAAGAACATTTACAAAATTTGGTTTGTAATCCGAACCTGTCCTATTGAGATCATATCATACTGATAGTGAATTATTAGATCATGATTATTTTGCAGCAAAAACGTTAAAGTTTATTCTACATTATTTAGGGATTTACATTGTTTATTCTCTACTGTTAACTCTATTACATCACTCGGTTGTGATGAATGAAAAATATATTGACAACAAAACCTTGAGATGCTGCACCAGAGATGTTTACGTACATCGAATCTCGAGGTAGTTTGTTATATCCGAGCCATAAGCTTTGCCAATTGATGTACTGAACAAAAAGCAAAGTATGTGTATAATTAACAAAACCAAACAGGGTGTTTATTTTTCAATAATGAATATAATATTAAATTAGTGTTTGTTACATTGATGATAGGATGCGACAAAGCTGTTCACAAGTCATACTTGACCTCCAGATTTTTCATTTTTTTGTTACCTGTCGGTTGCATTTTTTCACTCGAACGATTAATCAATCATTTATTTCATCAATTGAAAGTAAAAATCACAGAAAAATTTTTACTTGAAGTAAATTTTAATAGCTCAAATAATGATGATTATTATTGATATGTATAATATAATTTGTTTGTATATATAATAAATTGACACAATAGCAATAATAGCACAATTTAATACAGTAATTGGTAATTTGTTCGTTGTCATCTATTTATCCATAAACCTGGTTTTGGAATCTAAATAAAACTTTTTCATTCTTATAATAAAATTCATATAAAAAATTATGAAATCTAACTCGAAGGTTATATATCTTTCAATAAAAAAAAACATTCGACCTCATGGCGATTCGATCTCGCCAAGCTCTTGCAAGGTCTACATAGACCTTGAACTCTTGTAGTGATTGCAGTGCCCCTGGAGGTAACATTTGTCTCTAGTTGATTTTAGCAAGTAGTGAACACCAGCAGATAATCTACCGACTCTGTTTTCACTAATTCGAATCATTCGATTCAACTCGTTTATTTATATGTGAGTAAAAACTTGCATTCGGAAAAAATTTACAAAATTTTTATGAAATTTTAAAAGAAACAAAAACTTTAATTTCTAGCGTCTAGAAAGAAGTGATTGGCAACATTTATCGCAAGGTTTCTCATTTAAGTAGTGGTTCTGAAACACGTGTAACTGTTGGTTGCAAGGTTAGAGTGCTGTTGGTAGTGTACTGTACAGCTGTTCGGCGTTGGATATCACAACTGAGTGGATTGTTAATTGACTCTAACGGAAGAACCACATTTGTCACACACACTTAAAAGAATCATATTCTGAATTGAATAACATTATAATGGCAACTAAAGTAGCTGTAGTAAGTTCCGAGTCTATATATTAATTATTAATTTAACCACTTATCCATTCAGCTGTCCAATGTGTGGGGTTAAATTTAAGAGGAGTTTTCCGTTTCCACCCAGTTTTTGTTTAAAACAATTTCTATTAGTGTTTTCTATCCTCTAATTTTATTATAATTTTAACAAACAATTTGTCAAGTTGTTAAGCATTTTAGTCAAATTAATGGAACGTTGACAGTTCTATCTGCTAATGCAGTGGTTCTCAACTGGGGTTACATGTACCCCTAGGGGTACGAGCATAAATCGAAGGGGTACATCTTTTACATTATAAAATGGCGTATGTTAATCAATTTGCTGTAAATTATTAATACTACTTGTGTTATTATTTGATAAGTATATTATATATAGATGGCTGAAATGTATTTATTTATACCACTGGTCTAGTTAGTTAGAGTTTTTTATGGCGCTCAGTTATAAGGGCTATATACTGTACATCTAACGCAGTAATTATAAAATTTACATACAAAAATATAAGGGGTACTTGAGAAACAACTAATGGACTAATAGGGTACATCATCAAAAAAGGTTGAGAACCACTGTGCTAATGGATAAAGTATTATTTAAGAAACAATATAAACAGGAAGTGATGTAAACTTAGCCAAACAATTGATATTTGGTTAACTACACTTTTAATCTCTTTGAAAGTAATTTAAAAGTACTGATAAATGTATCAGTTTCTTTTGTGCTTTGTATCTATCTAAAGTTTTGTTTTGTGTGTGTAAAAACAACTTAACAGTTTTATTATCATGTGTGAGATTATTAGTGGAGTTAATATGTTTTACAGCTCTATTCTGCTGGTGTTAGGTATGGTACATGTTTGCTTTATGAACACTTTAAGTAGTTGCTGAAACTCACCCTGGTATTTCTTGAAAAGTTGATGATGGTGAAATGTGAAATTGAAAAGATGCAATACATTTCAGCATTACCTATTAATAAAATTGTTGGGCTGCAATTTGAAAAAATTATAGACATAAATTCCCACTATCATCCGCCCATCTGCTTTTCTTTCTGTAATCTCGAGAATGAAGTCAGATAGATGAAAGATGAGGCCAGATATGGAAACCTTAGGGCAGGAGATCCTGATTATATATGAACATCCAGTTTACACCAGAAGTCATGTTATTTCAATTAAAAAATTTACCCCTGAAAGGTGTTAGATAGATGACCAGCACAATTCTATTGTTAATGGAAAAATATGATGTACAGGGGTAAGCCACAACTAATTTGAAGTGGAGATAATATATTTTAAATTAAATAGATTAAAAGTATGATTAAAAATTACAGCTTGACATTGTGATGATATCACAATAAATAATTGCTCATTTCACTTTAACTTTGTGTTGAGAATTATTGTATAAATTTTATATATTAAATAATTTTAAGTATTTGAATACAGTATTATTATTTGAATAAAGTGAATTGTCTTAAAAAAAAAAACTGATAAATTTTATTTATTTACATAAATTAAATAATTCTATAAATCTATTAATCTTAAATAAGAATTTTTATGCTTTTTAAATTTTTTAAGTTTATTTTAAATATTAATCATAATATGAATTTAACTATAAAAATATATTATAATCTACTATATCTATATTAATTTAAGAAGTGTTAATCTGCTTAATAATTTCAGGTAACTGGGGGAAACAAAGGTATTGGTTTTGCTATTGTTAAGGCACTCTGTCAAAAATATGATGGGCATGTCTATCTAACAGGTGATATATATGATATTTTTCATCAATCAATAATAATACTGTATATTGAATTTTGTTTTCATATTTTTCTAATTTTTTTTAAAGCTCGTGATGAACAGAGAGGAAAAAATGCTATAGTTGAACTTGAGAAACTGGGATTACAACCAAAATTTCATCTACTAAATATTAGCAGCTTAGAGAGTATTTGTCAATTTCGTGACTACTTAAAACAGAAGTATGATGGTTTGGATGTTCTTGTAAATAATGCTGCTATTGCATATAAAGTAAGTACAGTATTACAGTAGATGTAACTAATATTTTAATAAATCAAATATATAAATATTGCTAGATTTTATAGTTTTTATGTAATTGATGTACTAAAACTTTGCTGTATTTGAAGTAATTCAATTATTTTGTGTTTTATTTACTTTTAATAAATCCACTTTTTTATAAATTGTTAAACTCCTTTATTCTAATATTGTTTTAATTACATTTTTTTATAATTGTTTTGTGTATGAGTTCAATAACATTTTTATTCTAAATTTTTATATATATAAATTCTATCTACATATTTAAAAAATCAATATATATATACATCTAAGTGTTTTAAGTAGATTCATGCAAAAGTTTGCTAACTAAACTAGCATTTCTATAAAAAGTTAAATCTGGAACTAAATTAAAAACTTCAATAACTGTTTATCGGTCTATAGGATATTCTGAATAAAGATGTAGAAATGCCCAGTGTCTATCTATGCACCTAGTTGTGACGATAAAAACAAACTTCAATAACTATTATAACCAATAAACAATAACTAGTTCATACAGTAGTTATAAACTATACTATTTCTTTACTTAAAGACAAATAATAACTAATTGATTTTGACATTAGGAGTGCAGTTATTACATAAATTTTGCAAAGATTACTGAACAGATACAGTCAAATAAAACTGTTACTGAATTAGATACAGGTAACCCCCATATAGCATGGGAGTTATGTTCCAAAAAATTGTCGTGTTACGTGAATCCATGTTATACGAAACAAAGAACTAGTGTAAAAAGGGGAGGTTAGGTTCCAAAAATTAAAAAACATGTTGTTAAATCCTTATTTAAATCGGATTTATTATTCATTTTTTTCATAGGTAAAATACTTATTTATTATTTAAGTAAATATTTTACCAGAGGATTATTCATCCTATATGATGATCTCAGCATGAACATCATCAACTGGTAACAGTTTGTGGGTGTGTTCGTTAATAGCTGGGAGTGTGCTGCTGTTTGTAGGCATTTAGGAATGATGGTGAAAGAATGATGGCGGTGCCTGCACTATCGATAGTATCGTATGGAGGAATCTATAATTCTAAAATGAGCTTTTAGAGGCAAAAGAAAGGTCCCAATTGTATAATTTAACCATTAAATGGATTGTTTGTTGAAAGAGCATTCAAAGTAGCCATGAAAACAATTAGAATGCTCGCGTGGAGTTATGCGGATATATAAAAGAATATACCGTTTATTACATTTTATGTTTTACAAGGGTTTTACCCAATTCCCGAACCGTGTTAGAGTGAATCCGTGCTACACCGGGGATGTTCCCAATTCTCGAACCGTGTTAGAATGAATCTGTGCTATAGAAGTGCCATGTTATACGAGGGTTACCAGTACAATCAAGTTTGATTTAATGGCTGTTGGCTTATTTTCTTACATAAACTGTAAATAAAATTCACATAAAATTTATTTCAGTTTGGAAGTCAATATGTTAAAAATGTATAATTACAGTGGAATGTGGTTAACTCAAATTGGTCATGGAAAAACAATTCAGACTTAGAGTTATAGTTTCAAGCTAGGGAGGTTTGGCTGAAAATCAAGGTTTTATGTATTGGTATATTGGTGATTGTTGGGAGTATTTAATTTAGTAAGCAAAAACCAGCGAGAACTCGAGTGGGTGCTGTTGTCAATTGGCGCCAGAGTTAAAAAGACAAGAGGTGTACACTTAAGCAGAGCTAAGTCTGCATGTATTTTTTTTTTTTTAATAAGTTACAAATAAACATTAGATTAAAATTGAAAGAGTCTTTACTTGTGTGAAACACGGCATAACATTAACAGTGACCCATAATAAACTACACACACACACTATTTCTATGGGTCTTATTACGAAGAATTGTTTCATCAATGTAAACCTGTGTGTTGTCTCAAACATTTAACTGAATGGGTAAATAAGCTACTGATTAAATGTTTTCCCAATTAGTTGATCCATTTACTCCTAAGTGTTTATTAGGAGGATTGATATTAAATTTTGATGATTAAAGGTTGAGGGGATGGGGAGATAAAGGGGGTTGCTTGTATCTCCAGTAGGGTCAGACTTAATGATGATTTTACTTATGTTAGCATTTAAAATTTTTTTAGAACCCATTCCTACTCTCAAAATTAAGCTTTTAGCCATTTTATAATAGTTAAATATATAAAAAGGTTTCTAATAAAATATAACATGACATCACCAAATGTTGCTGGGAAAGTTAAGCAAGTTGTTGCTGGATTTTCTTTAAAGCATTTAAAACAAAATATCACTTATAGCTGTTAGAATAGATATCTAATGCTATCAAAAAACTGTTTTGGTATTACAAATATTATATTATTTTTTACATGAGTTAACATTGTATAATATATTTTAGTCTGTATATTTTTTACTTGTTGGATTAAAAATTCAAAATTATATTGATAATTATATATGTAAAAAAATTTTTTATTTATTTAGGTAGCATCTACAGCTCCTTTTGCTGAACAAGCAGAGAACACAGTGGGAGTAAATTTTTTTGATACTTTAAATGTATGTAAAGAATTGTTTCCACTTTTGAGACCACATGCCAGGTTTGTATTTTATTTATTTAAAGTAAGATAGTTTTAAATAAGACTTGCAGAAAGATTTTAGCATTTGTTGGTTAATTAGTTACAGCCAAGCCCTAGCAATTTTTAATAAAGATAATTGATGGCAATCTGATAATGATACGAGAAATGATATTTTAAGAGTTGCTTCAGTAAATTAAAATTTAATAGAATTTTAATTCTTCTATTTATGATTATAATATAATAATTCTGAAAACATTTTTTTTGAATACTTGTAAAAATGTTCTTAGTTTAAATGATTTATTATATTAATAATATAAAAAATGTAGTTGGATTATATCAAAATTATGATAATATCTATCATAATTTTGGTAAAAGTAAAAACTAACATCAAAGGTTAAAATTTCTATCCTGTCAACTTTATATTGTTTATAGAATTATTTTAAAGCTCTGCTGAAAATTTGAAACATATTTAAATTTGTTTTTCATAATGATAAACATTTTTCACTAAAATTAAAAAAAAAACTTTAGTGGTCTTCGTTACCTGAACACTGGGAGTTAAGCCGTGGGTTCGCGCCTTGCTCAGACCGGCTAGCCAGTTGGAGTTTTTTAAGTTTTTTGTAACACTTAAATAGGGGCCAGTTTTCTTTAAAAAGACCTCCTGGAAAGCATCCTCTCTAGGCAGATTGCCCAAGTGTTGCATTGCCATAATTAAACAAACAAAAATCTATTATTATTGAAAACTTTATAGCTGTATTTGATGTAATATGAACAAAAAATTACAAAACACTAAAAACAAATGGCTATACCAAATGTTTAGTAATTATGAGTATCAATGACAAATCCTAATTATTTTTATAAACAAATTTTTCAGTATATACAAGTTTTTATATTTTTATTAGTTTGAATTCATTTTTGTAACAGTAATTTATTTGTTTGTACTTGTGGCATTTTTTTATTTAAAAAGCAAAAAATAACAACAAATACAAAAGATGTGCACATGAATATAATGTTTTATTAGAGGTGTTAAAAAGAAATTGAAAGACAATTCAACAATCACTAGTTAAAGACACTACACTATATCTAGACCAAACCTCTTTAAGCTTGATTGAACTTTGTGAGACTATTCAAAGTTCTGCTTCCAATATTGGTAATACAAAGGTGTGCACAAACTTAGATTGATCTGATATATTCTGTTATCATTTATTTTAAAATTTTACTAGAAAAAGATTTGAAAATATTCTAATGGAGATTTAATTTTTAGGGTTGTGAATGTATCCAGTTCAGCTGGAATGTTATCTAGAGTTGGTAGTGAAGAACTTCAGAAGAAATTCTCTACTCCAAATTTAACAATAGAAGAACTATGCTCATTAATGAAAAAATTTGTTGAGTATGTTATTTAATAAATTTAGTTTCATTGTAATTATAACATTTAGAATAATTGCATTTAATATATAATATATAGTTCTAAACACATAACTATATAAGAATTATACAATGTATAACTATGTTATGCTTTAATGTTAATTGTAATAATCAATATCATTTATTTAGGGATGCAAAGAATGGTGTTCATCAAGAAAATGGTTGGGGAAATTCTGCATATTGTGTATCTAAAGTTGGGTTATCTGCTTTATCATTCATATATCAAAGACAATTTGACAAAGATGCTCGTCCTGATCTAGTTATTAATCCTGTAAGTAAATTTTAAATACATATTTTCTTAAACATATGAAAGATGTTTTACATTTTTTACAGTTAACAAGCTTGACAGAGTAAAAGTATAAAGCTTGTATGATTATGTAAAATGTTTTTATAATAAACAATGATTTGAACAGTAATGAGATTTGTAGTTTTACAGATAATGATATTGATCTTTTAATGTAAGATCAATATTTTAAACGTATATTTTTCCATTACTGTTTTTTAATATTTTGTTTTAATTCTGTATTGTACTAATAAATTATAAGACAAGTTTTATTATTGATATGAATACTCCTTACTCCTTTAATTATTTTTGTTTTAATGTAGCATTGCAATCACAAATATATTTGAATTATGAATATACTATTATATTTTGTTATATAATTAATTTAGTTTGGAAATAACTTAAATTCATTTAGTTGTATTATATAATGGATGTATTAATAAAACTAAGCTCCCAGTGACAAATATGTTTGTTTTTAAATATTTTGCAATTATTCTCTTTTGCTATTCTATTTATTATTTTGCAATTAANAATCATATTCTGAATTGAATAACATTATAATGGCAACTAAAGTAGCTGTAGTAAGTTCCGAGTCTATATATTAATTATTAATTTAACCACTTATCCATTCAGCTGTCCAATGTGTGGGGTTAAATTTAAGAGGAGTTTTCCGTTTCCACCCAGTTTTTGTTTAAAACAATTTCTATTAGTGTTTTCTATCCTCTAATTTTATTATAATTTTAACAAACAATTTGTCAAGTTGTTAAGCATTTTAGTCAAATTAATGGAACGTTGACAGTTCTATCTGCTAATGCAGTGGTTCTCAACTGGGGTTACATGTACCCCTAGGGGTACGAGCATAAATCGAAGGGGTACATCTTTTACATTATAAAATGGCGTATGTTAATCAATTTGCTGTAAATTATTAATACTTCTTGTGTTATTATTTGATAAGTATATTATATATAGATGGCTGAAATGTATTTATTTATACCACTGGTCTAGTTAGTTAGAGTTTTTTATGGCGCTCAGTTATAAGGGCTATATACTGTACATCTAACGCAGTAATTATAAAATTTACATACAAAAATATAAGGGGTACTTGAGAAACAACTAATGGACTAATAGGGTACATCAACAAAAAAGGTTGAGAACCACTGTGCTAATGGATAAAGTATTATTTAAGAAACAATATAAACAGGAAGTGATGTAAACTTAGCCAAACAATTGATATTTGGTTAACTACACTTTTAATCTCTTTGAAAGTAATTTAAAAGTACTGATAAATGTATCAGTTTCTTTTGTGCTTTGTATCTATCTAAAGTTTTGTTTTGTGTGTGTAAAAACAACTTAACAGTTTTATTATCATGTGTGAGATTATTAGTGGAGTTAATATGTTTTACAGCTCTATTCTGCTGGTGTTAGGTATGGTACATGTTTGCTTTATGAACACTTTAAGTAGTTGCTGAAACTCACCCTGGTATTTCTTGAAAAGTTGATGATGGTGAAATGTGAAATTGAAAAGATGCAATACATTTCAGCATTACCTATTAATAAAATTGTTGGGCTGCAATTTGAAAAAATTATAGACATAAATTCCCACTATCATCCGCCCATCTGCTTTTCTTTCTGTAATCTCGAGAATGAAGTCAGATAGATGAAAGATGAGGCCAGATATGGAAACCTTAGGGCAGGAGATCCTGATTATATATGAACATCCAGTTTACACCAGAAGTCATGTTATTTCAATTAAAAAATTTACCCCTGAAAGGTGTTAGATAGATGACCAGCACAATTCTATTGTTAATGGAAAAATATGATGTACAGGGGTAAGCCACAACTAATTTGAAGTGGAGATAATATATTTTAAATTAAATAGATTAAAAGTATGATTAAAAATTACAGCTTGACATTGTGATGATATCACAATAAATAATTGCTCATTTCACTTTAACTTTGTGTTGAGAATTATTGTATAAATTTTATATATTAAATAATTTTAAGTATTTGAATACAGTATTATTATTTGAATAAAGTGAATTGTCTTAAAAAAAAAAACTGATAAATTTTATTTATTTACATAAATTAAATAATTCTATAAATCTATTAATCTTAAATAAGAATTTTTATGCTTTTTAAATTTTTTAAGTTTATTTTAAATATTAATCATAATATGAATTTAACTATAAAAATATATTATAATCTACTATATCTATATTAATTTAAGAAGTGTTAATCTGCTTAATAATTTCAGGTAACTGGGGGAAACAAAGGTATTGGTTTTGCTATTGTTAAAGCACTCTGTCAAAAATATGATGGGCATGTCTATCTAACAGGTGATATATATGATATTTTTCATCAATCAATAATAATACTGTATATTGAATTTTGTTTTCATATTTTTCTAATTTTTTTTAAAGCTCGTGATGAACAGAGAGGAAAAAATGCTATAGTTGAACTTGAGAAACTGGGATTACAACCAAAATTTCATCTACTAAATATTAGCAGCTTAGAGAGTATTCGTCAATTTCGTGACTACTTAAAACAGAAGTATGATGGTTTGGATGTTCTTGTAAATAATGCTGCTATTGCATATAAAGTAAGTATTACAGTAGATGTAACTAATATTTTAATAAATCAAATATATAAATATTGCTAGATTTTATAGTTTTTATGTAATTGATGTACTGAAACTTTGCTGTATTCGAAGTAATTCAATTATTTTATGTTTTATTTACTTTTAATAAACCCACTTTTTTATAAATTGTTAAACTCCTTAATTCTATTAGTGTTTTAATTATATTTTTTTTATAATTGTTTTGTGTATGAGTTCAATAATATTTTTATTCTAAATTTTTATATATATAAAATTCTATCTACATATTTAAAAAAACAATATATACATCTAAGCTTTTACCGTTTACATCTAAGCATTTTAAGTAGATTCATGCAAAAGTTTGCTAACTAAACTAGCATTTCTATAAAAAGTTAAATCTGGAACTAAGTTATAAACTTCAATAACTGTTTATTGGTCTATAGGATATTTTGAATAAAGATGTAGAAATGCCCAGTGTCTATCTATGCACCTAGTTGTGACGATAAAAACAAACTTCAATAACTATTATAACCAATAAACAATAACTAGTTCATACAGTAGTTATAAACTATACTATTTCTTTACTTAAAGACAAATAATAACTAATTGATTTTGACATTAGGAGTGCAGTTATTACATAAATTTTGCAAAGATTACTGAACAGATACAGTCAAATAAAACTGTTACTGAATTAGATACAGGTAACCCCCATATAGCATGGGAGTTATGTTCCAAAAAATTGTCGTGTTACGTGAATCCATGTTATACGAAACAAAGAACTAGTGTAAAAAGGGGAGGTTAGGTTCCAAAAATTAAAAAACATGTTGTTAAATCCTTATTTAAATCGGATTTATTATTCATTTTTTTCATAGGTAAAATACTTATTTATTATTTAAGTAAATATTTTACCAGAGGATTATTCATCCTATATGATGATCTCAGCATGAACATCNTTATTGATTTTGACATTAGGAGTGCAGTTATTACATAAATTTTGCAAAGATTACTGAACAGATACAGTCAAATAAAACTGTTACTGAATTAGATACAATCAAGTTTGATTTAATGGCAGTGGGCTTATTTTCTTACATAAACTGTAAATAAAATTCACACAAAATTTATTTCAGTTTGGAAGTCAATATGTTAAAAATGTATAATTACAGTGGAACATGGTTAACTCAAATTGATCAAGGAAAAACAATTCAGACTTAGAGTTATAGTTTCAAGTTAGGGAGGTTTTGCTAAAAATCAAGGTTTTATGCATTTGTGTATTGGTGACTGTTGGGAGTATTTAATTTAGTAAGCAAAAACCAGAGAGAACTCGAGTGGGTGCTGTTGTCAATTGGCGCCAGAGTTAAAAAGACAAGAGGTGTACATTTAAGCAGAGCTAAGTCTGCATGTATTTTTTTTTTTTTTAATAAGTTACAAATAAACATTAGATTAAAATTGAAAGTGTCTTTACTTGTGTGAAACACAGCATAATGTTAACAGTGACCCATAATAAACTATCCACACACTATTTCTATGGGTCTTATTACGAAGATTGTTTCATCAATGTAAACCTGTGTGTTGTCTCAAACATTTAACTGAATGGGTAAATAAGCTAATGATTAAATGTTTTCCCAATTAGTTGATCCATTTACTCCTAAGTGTTTATTAGGAGGATTGATATTAAATTTTGATGATTAAAGGTTGAGGGGATGGGGAGATAAAGGTTGCTTGTATCTCCAGTAGGGTCAGACTTAATGATGATTTTACTTATGTTAGCATTTAAAATTTTTTTAGAACCCATTCCTACTCTCAAAATTAAGCTTTTAGCCATTTTATAATAGTTAAATATATAAAAAGGTTTCTAATAAAATATAACATGACATCACCAAATGTTGCTGGGAAAGTTAAGCAAGTTGTTGCTGGATTTTCTTTAAAGCATTTAAAACAAAATATCACTTATAGCTGTTAGAATAGATATCTAATGCTATCAAAAAACTGTTTTGGTATTACAAATATTATATTATTTTTTACATGAGTTAACATTGTATAATATATTTTAGTCTGTATATTTTTTACTTGTTGGATTAAAAATTCAAAATTATATTGATAATTATATATGTAAAAAAATTTTTTATTTATTTAGGTAGCATCTACAGCTCCTTTTGCTGAACAAGCAGAGAACACAGTGGGAGTAAATTTTTTTGATACTTTAAATGTATGTAAAGAATTGTTTCCACTTTTGAGACCACATGCCAGGTTTGTATTTTATTTATTTAAAGTAAGATAGTTTTAAATAAGACTTGCAGAAAGATTTTAGCATTTGTTGGTTAATTAGTTACAGCCAAGCCCTAGCAATTTTTAATAAAGATAATTGATGGCAATCTGATAATGATACGAGAAATGATATTTTAAGAGTTGCTTCAGTAAATTAAAATTTAATAGAATTTTAATTCTTCTATTTATGATTATAATATAATAATTCTGAAAACATTTTTTTTGAATACTTGTAAAAATGTTCTTAGTTTAAATGATTTATTATATTAATAATATAAAAAATGTAGTTGGATTATATCAAAATTATGATAATATCTATCATAATTTTGGTAAAAGTAAAAACTAACATCAAAGGTTAAAATTTCTATCCTGTCAACTTTATATTGTTTATAGAATTATTTTAAAGCTCTGCTGAAAATTTGAAACATATTTAAATTTGTTTTTCATAATGATAAACATTTTTCACTAAAATTAAAAAAAAAACTTTAGTGGTCTTCGTTACCTGAACACTGGGAGTTAAGCCGTGGGTTCGCGCCTTGCTCAGACCGGCTAGCCAGTTGGAGTTTTTTAAGTTTTTTGTAACACTTAAATAGGGGCCAGTTTTCTTTAAAAAGACCTCCTGGAAAGCATCCTCTCTAGGCAGATTGCCCAAGTGTTGCATTGCCATAATTAAACAAACAAAAATCTATTATTATTGAAAACTTTATAGCTGTATTTGATGTAATATGAACAAAAAATTACAAAACACTAAAAACAAATGGCTATACCAAATGTTTAGTTATTATGAGTATCAATGACAAATCCTAATTATTTTTATAAACAAATTTTTCAGTATATACAAGTTTTTATATTTTTATTAGTTTGAATTCATTTTTGTAACAGTAATTTATTTGTTTGTACTTGTGGCATTTTTTTATTTAAAAAGCAAAAAATAACAACAAATACAAAAGATGTGCACATGAATATAATGTTTTATTAGAGGTGTTAAAAAGAAATTGAAAGACAATTCAACAATCACTAGTTAAAGACACTACACTATATCTAGACCAAACCTCTTTAAGCTTGATTGAACTTTGTGAGACTATTCAAAGTTCTGCTTCCAATATTGGTAATACAAAGGTGTGCACAAACTTAGATTGATCTGATATATTCTGTTATCATTTATTTTAAAATTTTACTAGAAAAAGATTTGAAAATATTCTAATGGAGATTTAATTTTTAGGGTTGTGAATGTATCCAGTTCAGCTGGAATGTTATCTAGAGTTGGTAGTGAAGAACTTCAGAAGAAATTCTCTACTCCAAATTTAACAATAGAAGAACTATGCTCATTAATGAAAAAATTTGTTGAGTATGTTATTTAATAAATTTAGTTTCATTGTAATTATAACATTTAGAATAATTGCATTTAATATATAATATATAGTTCTAAACACATAACTATATAAGAATTATACAATGTATAACTATGTTATGCTTTAATGTTAATTGTAATAATCAATATCATTTATTTAGGGATGCAAAGAATGGTGTTCATCAAGAAAATGGTTGGGGAAATTCTGCATATTGTGTATCTAAAGTTGGGTTATCTGCTTTATCATTCATATATCAAAGACAATTTGACAAAGATGCTCGTCCTGATCTAGTTATTAATCCTGTAAGTAAATTTTAAATACATATTTTCTTAAACATATGAAAGATGTTTTACATTTTTTACAGTTAACAAGCTTGACAGAGTAAAAGTATAAAGCTTGTATGATTATGTAAAATGTTTTTATAATAAACAATGATTTGAACAGTAATGAGATTTGTAGTTTTACAGATAATGATATTGATCTTTTAATGTAAGATCAATATTTTAAACGTATATTTTTCCATTACTGTTTTTTAATATTTTGTTTTAATTCTGTATTGTACTAATAAATTATAAGACAAGTTTTATTATTGATATGAATACTCCTTACTCCTTTAATTATTTTTGTTTTAATGTAGCATTGCAATCACAAATATATTTGAATTATGAATATACTATTATATTTTGTTATATAATTAATTTAGTTTGGAAATAACTTAAATTCATTTAGTTGTATTATATAATGGATGTATTAATAAAACTAAGCTCCCAGTGACAAATATGTTTGTTTTTAAATATTTTGCAATTATTCTCTTTTGCTATTCTATTTATTATTTTGCAATTAAAAAAAATTGTTCTATATCTTTGTTGTTGTTGTTCTATATCTTTCAAGATATTTCAAGATGCTCTATATGTTTAAATGATTATTAAATAATATAAACATGTAGCACTTGGGTTTAAGCATGTCAATAAATGTCATAATAATTTTAAAAGTTTTAATCCTGAAAGTTTAAAAAAAAATCTTGAGTTACACTTAACAAACCAGGACTAGAAACAAAATTTCACCATGGCATTGTATTAAAAACTGACTTTGTAAAATAAAAAAATCTTTATTTAATTGAAAGAAAAGATAATACTGTGTGATGGGAAAATATGTAATCAGATTAATTTGAATATAATATAATCAAATACAGGTATACCTCGCCTTACGTCGGTAATTGGTTCCAGGAGAACGACTTAAGTCGAAAAACGACGTAAGTCGAGGTATACCTGTACAATATATAAATAATTACAACAAGTTTTTTGATTTGGTTCTGCCTTATGGTCACTAAGGCCTTTTTATCAAACCCATTGTGGATATGGTCAGGCCCACAATGGACATTTGATGTAATATGAACAAAAAATTACAAAACACTAAAAACAAATGGCTATACCAAATGTTTAGTAATTATGAGTATCAATGACAAATCCTAATTATTTTTATAAACAAATTTTTCAGTATATACAAGTTTTTATATTTTTATTAGTTTGAATTCATTTTTGTAACAGTAATTTATTTGTTTGTACTTGTGGCATTTTTTTATTTAANCGTATAATTGGGAACGACATAACTCGAAACGACGTAAGTCGAGGTATACCTGTACAATATATAAATAATTACAACAAGTTTTTTGATTTGGTTCTGCCTTATGGTCACTAAGGTCTTTTTATCAAACTTATTGTGGATATGGTCAGGCCCACAATGGACAGCTGGTGAGGGACAGCATCTGATGTATCTGGAATTGACCACTCTAAGAAATTCCTGGGATTTTTTTTTTTATCCATCAAGACATGATCCTGGGTCACCCGTCATCTAGAGCAGTAGGTTGACATTAACGATTTAGCCATCAAGCCATGCATGATGGGGGTTTTTAAAATATGTATTTCTTCTATAACTCCAAATCCATGTTAACTGGCTCTGGAAAGCACTAACCTCTCTATCATATGCCATAATTGCCAGATAACCAATCTGACCCTGAAAGTAGCCCTCTTATTGTTTCAAGGTAGCTTGCACAGGACTATGTAAATGTGGGTCCCATGTTTACATAATCCTCTTCAAATTTCTTTATAAAGGGCAGACTTTGTACATTAAAATGATATGATTTATCCCTCCTAAGGTTTTTAATAGATAAAAATTTTAAGAAAAAATAATAACAATAATACTCAATATGAAATTACATTTAAATATATTAAAAATTTCATTATTTGTTAAATATTATTTCTTAATATATGTAAAATAAAATTATATTTTAATGTTATATTTAAATTAATATGTGAATATTTTACACTTTAAGAATAAATTCAATGCACAAAAATTTTGCATGAGAAAAGATAATATAATCTTTTTTTTATGCAAATAGATATTAGGAGTAATGTTTAAAGTTTGATTATAACTTACATTTAATTTAGTGAGACTATATCTTTGAAATGATACAAAAAAGCATTTGTTCTGTTAGACATCAGAAAAACTTTTTAATCTTTCTACCTTGAAATTCTTTAAACTAATATAATTCATGATAAACAAAGTTCCAAGGATAAATTTTGTTGGTTAAATCAAATTTTGACCATACAAATAAATTTGGGTCAGTACAAATAATCCTTTTTTTAATAATCCAACTAGAGACAGATAGTTAACAACTTAAAAACTGACAAAATGACATTAAAAGAACATAGAAAAGGTCGGCATCAATTGTATATTATACAGTTGATGCCGACGTTTTCTTTGAGGATCCAATGTCAACCACACAGCATTAAAATTATCATTCAGGTGATATGCTAATTACAATGCTTTCTTAGTCTTCCACCTGAGGTCTGAAGATGTGTAAATACAACTGATTTGTACCTAAATGATATTGTGAAGAATTTTAATGCTGTGTGGTTGACGTCAGATCCTGAAAGAAAACATTGGTGTCAATTGTATATTGTATGTTTTTGAATAATAACATACAGAATATATAATTATAAGATTTTTCAAATTTTTTTAATCAGTAATGCAAATGTATAAATTTAGATATATGATTTGACAATAAGGAAGAAATTATAAAATAGTTCTTTATGAAAGATAGTTTTATTATATTATAATAAGACTATAAAATAAATATGAAATAAATTAACTTTATATTACATATATATTTTTCTTATCGATTGATTTAAATTTTAGTTTTTTAAAAGCAATATTATTATTATGTATTGCAGGTTCATCCAGGATATGTTGATACAGATATGTCAAGCCATAAGGGTCCATTAACTCCTGATCAAGGTATAAAATATTTTTAAAATTTTATTTTTACTTTTGTACTATTAAACAATAAATTTTAAAAATATTTTAAAGTATATTATAGCATATTAAAGTATAAATATTTTTCAAAATTTCTATTAGTTAAATTTGTTTCAAGAAGGAAATTTTTTTTGTCCTGTTATATAAAATATGGTTCACACCCATGTTTCTTTAGATATTAATTTTTCTTGGATGTTTTGTCCCACTTCGCTTTGTCATGCAACATTATTAATAATTATTTCTTTACTTTTATTGGACATGAAATTTATATGTCCATGTTTATTAAGATAAAGAAATCATTTTGTAAAACATTTTTATATCTTAGTAAAATCATTGTTTATAACAAATAGTACAAATTAAATATTTTTAAATTAAATTTTTATCAACTAATTTGTAATCTGTTAAAATAACATTTCTTGTATACTATATATATAAAATTTTTTTAAAATAAAAATTAAATACTGTATATATTTTTTTGAGAATTACAGGAAACTTTTTAAAATTTCAAGCCTTAATCTTTTGAATATAGATTTAATAAAAGAGAGTTCCATTTTCATTAATTCAAAGTAATTCATTCAGATTTATTATATTTATAGAATCAGTAATAAAATGTATTAGTAGTAAGTATTTTTATGAATTTTAAATCATGAAATTATTTAACTTTACAAAAGATTACAAAGGATGGATTGAGCTTAAAACAAGTTAAATACTTTTAATGTAACATTAATCCCACTTACCTGTCAACTAATATTATTAAAAACAGAAAGAAAGAAAAGAAATTTAATAACTTATAATATAAAGATATATTATGTTGAACTTTTAGTACACATTTTGATTTTTAACTCTTAATTTCTTTTGAATTATTGAAAACTATGTTAATTGATTTTAAGATTGACTTAGTTCTTAATTACATCTATACTAATATTATAAAGAGGTTATGTATGTATGTATGTATGTATGTAAGTTTGTTTGCAGCAGGTAATCTCCGAAACTACTCATCCGATTTCAAAATTTCTTTCACCAATATTTAGAATGGAACCTCAGGGTGGACATAGGCTGTATATTATTCCGTTAAACATTCATATAAATTAAAATATATAATCTAGGTTAAGGCTTTTATGTCCAACAGATGTTGCTACGAGTACGATGCCCTAAGTTTGCTTTTCTGTGAGGCATTATGCTTTTCTGTGAAAATGAACTAAAGCAGGTCATATTCTATCTAATTATATAAATAAAAATGTAATGTTCGTTTGTTCCTACTGATTCCTTTGAAATTTTGGCACAACGCTGCATTCGAATATGCATGTGTTTTTATATAATATACGTGTCAAAATTCCCTTCACTGAAGGGAGATGGTTAGGATTAAGGCTTAAGGTAAAGAACTCTGCTTCTATTTATACTATTTTAGATGCTGTTTTTTTGCGTTTTAATAGGGTACGTCAACAGAATGTACACTAAGAAAAAATTTTTTGAAAAATTTCCCCCCACGGGGAAGTGTTATAAATTTATAATAGATACATTTTGAGACATATATTACATTTAAATTCCTAAATTTTTATCAATGAAAATTATAAAGTAATGATTAGAATTTTTGATGATTCCTAGATATAAAAAGCTAGGTATAACTAATTCTAAACTAAAAATAAATAATGGGCCTACGTACATTAGATAATGATAAAATATTAGCAAAAACACCCATTTAAATATTTTAATATCTTTCAAACAAAATTGCAAACCCTATTTACATTCAATATTTCAACAACCATAGTAATTGTTATATGAGAATAATGAGAGTTGCCGAGAATCAAATGAACTGTTTTTAATTCGATAAATTTCTGGAACGTTTACAATCGTTCTATAATCGAACCAATATGCAATAACAAATTCGAATTTAAAACGGTTCGAACATTTGGTTTAAAAATTAAAATATATAAAAAATATTTATAACAATGTCTGAAATGTTATCAATTTAATACGCCTAAGTACTCAATGAAGACTAAACATAATTAAAAACAAAAAAATTGCATCTAAAATAATACAGTAGAAGCTGTTCTTCAGGTTAAGCCTTAATGCTCTCCCTCTCCCCCGGGGGAATTTCGAAAAATCCCTTCTTAGTGTGCATTTTCATGATATACCCTAATTGTGTACCAAATTTCACCTCTAGGTTCTGGAACTCTCTAGAAAAAACTGGAACATTCTCATTGAAGCATCACACATTTTTGAAGTCAACCACTTTCAAACCCCATATCTCTCACACCCTTATAGCTATCAAGATGCAACCACCATAGTGTATGATGGGAGACTTGGGGCACATAAACACCATTCATCTATGATGTGCAGTTTTGGCTGCAGAGTGAAATATAGGCACAAACATGTCCACTTTTATATATAGACTAACTGCAAGTACCCGCTTTGCTGGGTTTTTATTTGTTTGTACATTTATATGTAATACAGTTTTTTTATATATAAAAGACTGTCTCTCTTCCTCTACATAATCTTTCTCTAATTCGATGTGTTTCCCTATAATTTTCAAGTTGCTCTTCTGTCTGATTATTTCTGTTTCTCATAGCAATGTTAGATGTACTTCTTTGTACTTCAATGTTAGATGTACTTTCTTCCGTGGTTTCATTTCTCTGAGCCATCTTTTGCCTTTGAGATATGATTCGAGACCGCAAAAATTCTTTCTTACATTTTCACGTTGTTTTTTATATTTTTACTTTTCACACTTCACTATTCACTTTTCACTTTCTACTTTTTTCTGTTATTCGTACACGATTTTGAAGTGAACACATTTACCTGTAATTGAATTGCATATACAAAATAATCCTTTTATCGTCGTGTAACTTTATTACACCAGATAA